CTGAAACCTCCACAAACTGTGAGCTAAATAAACCTTTCCTGCCTTAATTCTGGGCATCAGGTATTTTGTCTCAGCAAGGACAGAAAAGTAACTAAAACACCTAGAAAAGGACCAAAGAAGCCTCTCAGGCTCACTTGTGCATGGAAACAACTCAAAGCACAATTTATCCTTTTCAATAGGTTTTCTCTAGAGGAATTTTCTGAGCTTCTTTTCCCTGGAGTTATGCAACATAGACTTAGGGACAAAAGCAGTGCCAATTACTCTCTCTAGTGTTCCACTGCATGATGATAAAAATGATGATAATAATAATAATAATAATAAAGGAAGGCTTCAACAGAAGGTGATGTTGTGTTCAGTCATGGGAGAGAGCACATACATTGTGAAGGCCTGCAGACTTTTAAATATACCACTGTCTACAGTGAGTAGAGGACAAATGTGGAAGTCTTGACCTGAAGCTTATTAATGTAATAAATATGTATAAGCTCACCAAGAGCTGACATTAACTCCGCTCCACATCCCTGACTCCAGCCATTTGGCCTTGCCTCCTGCATGATTTTGAACCTTTCCTACCTTAAAGCCTGTTTTCTCATCTATACAAGGATTACATGGCCCACTCCACTAGGAAACATCAAACCTAAGAAGGAAGGATTCAATCAGGCTCAAAGACAGTGTCCAAGTATCCATTAAAAAAAAAAAACAAAAAACAGGAAAAACATCTGACAACATTTACTCTTCTTTGGCCAAGATTAAACCTGCCACAAACTAAGGTTTTTCTCAGCAGCCTCTGGCACGGCATGTCCAGAATTTCAGAAACCACACCCTGAGAGAATGGGGCCAGACTTCCTATGCTCCCTGCTATGGATACTTTCAATGGAATTTTCATTCTCCTGGATATCTGCTTGAATCTACCTTATGGATTCCATTTCTTTCCTAAACTGAGCATTCATGGCTTCCATAATTTTCTTAAGCTCCTCTAATTTTTTGTCTGAATCTTATCTACAGTCTCTAAGCATGATTTTCCTTAAAGACAACATTTCAGCAGTTACCTGAGAAATTATTTCTGATTTGATTTTTTCTAGAGTCTCATTCATTTACTTTGTTGTTAGCTCTTCAGAGAGGCCAGGTGCATGGCTTTTGAATTGTTCTACCTCATTGCCTTCTGAGTTTGCCTTTGGTGAGCTGGATATCTGAG